TGTTACTACGTAGCTTGTTGTTACTACTAGTAAGGCACTTGTTACTAGTAGTAAGGCACTTGTTCCTAGTAGCGTCCTCTTGTTCCTAGTAGTGCAAAAAAACCATGGTTTTGTGCACATTTTGGCTGCGAGGAGAGAAAGGAAAGGGAAAGCACCATTATCTTCCGGGTAGGCGCACAGCCGTTCACGTGCTGTACTAGACGTTACTAAGCCATTGTCCTTCCCTTTCTTCTTTTTCTTGAGACCTGCCTTTAGACCTTTCTTTCATTTCTTTATTCTCTTTGGTTATTCTTCAGACCTTAAAACTATATCTTATTGCCATTCTCTCACTATATTGCTGTTTACTCTCGCTATTGCTACTCTCTCCCCACCAGGACTTGCTTTGCAAGTTGCATTGAACCCGTTGTGTGACATTGCCGGCTATGCCTTGGCCCCCGCCTCGGTGATTGCTCCAGTGACCGGCATGGACATCGCGCCTCGGCGACCGACGGAGCGGAGAACGGAGAACGGAGCGATCGGACGCGACCGGAACGGGGCTCCTGGCATCGCTACGAACGGAGCATCCTTGCTAACAAGAAGCTACGAATGGGGCTCCTGGCCGTACAGGAACAAGGGCATCGCTACTAGTAACAAAGGGCATTTCGTAACTAGAAGCTACTGGTAGCTAGAAGCTTCCAAAAGGGAATCGTTTCACTGGAAACCGTTTCACCTGTAGTAACAAGAAGCTATTGGTAGCTTGTTGCTCCGTTCGTAGCGATGGCCTCCAACCTACTTGCGATGGCCTCCGAATGGCCTGTCAGGGACATAGACCTACGGCCTACTACCGCCTTCTATGGCCTACGGGCAAATGCTAAAGGGCCTTCCTGGCTTCCTCGCACTATTTTTCTTTTCACTTTAGGCTTTTCTTTGGACCATTTACCATTCAGACCGTCTTAAACATCCTAGACTTTAGATGTTTCTTTTTCCCGTCGAGTTCGGGGTATTTCACTGTCACAATCTAAGGTGTGGAACACAGTGATTGCTCCGTCCCTTTGCAGCAGAGGAGTTGACGTTGACCGAAAGAAGCCCTAAAGATCCTAAAGGGAAGCAAAGCCAAGCAATGCGAAGCACTGCAAAGCGCCAAGTGCGATCTCAAAAGCAATTCGCCTAAATTTGCTTCTGGTCCATACGGTGTTGGTCATGTTTTTGCTGCTTTTTCAACGATTCTGGGGATTTGGGATGCTTCAGGTGTTCTTTGAACGAGACGTTGACTCCTAGAAGGCTGATGAGCACCACCATCATCTTCTTTGCTGCAACGGCATCTGAGTCTTGGCGAAGACTTCTGTTCAAACATGGCTCGAAGAAAGCTACTAGTAGCGTCCCTTGCTCCGTTCGTAGCGAGGCCAGGAGCCCCGTTCGTAGCGTCCTTGTTACAAGCCGTTTCGTTTTCGCTCGAAGCATTGTTTTAGGTGGCCTTTCGACAGATCAACGAGGTGCGGTTGAGCAAGAGTCTCACGACGCGGTGTGTAAGCATGCAATTTCAATAGGAATGGCCTCCAACCTACTGGTGATGGCCTCCAATCTAATAGGGATGGCCTCCCCCTACTTGATTCTCAGTTGCTTTACTTTTGTGTGCTTTTCATGTATCACTTCCATGTTTGTCTTCTGAAGTCCCTTTTAGGTGGAATGGACCACAGAGTATGTCGAAATGGTGCTGCTGCAAAATCGCACCACACTTTATGCGATTTGCTTCGTTGCATGGTAGCTCGAAGAACGATAGCATTCGCCTTTTTGTGGTGACTTGGGGTGGTTTCTCCATCATCCGATGGAGACAGTTTAGACTTAGAAATCGTTGCGATGGAGACAGAAAGGGTCCCTCAGGTGAGATGAGTGCAGCCCCCTCGAACTGCTGCTAGGAGCAAAGGGCATCGCTACTAGGAGCAAGGACGCTACGAACGGGGCTCCTGGCATCGCTAGGAACGGAGCATTCTTACTATGAACAGAACAAGAAGCAAATCACGCCACTATCCGCCATTCTCAAAGCCTGGACGAGTCACTTCGACCTTCACTTCGTACTCCCGGCAGAAGTCGCTGGCCCACCGTGCTCCCAATGGGACCCGGTCTCCCGTCTGTGCGGCTCCGAGCCTTTCTGCGGTTCTGAGCCCGCCTTCTTGGTTGGCGCTGATGGCCACGAGTTCAGAGTTCGTAAGGAAACCGTTCCCCACGCGGCAGAAAGGAACACCTAGCTGCCTTTGACGCCAGCTTTAAGGATTAAAGCTATTAGTAGGTTGAAGGCCATCGCTATTTTTTGGTTCAAACAATCATTTTTCTTTAAGGCTCAAAGGCGGAAACTTGTTGTCGCCCACAGCAGACTTTCCATCCCTCAAGGAGAAGGTGCTTCGAGTCTTGGAAGGATGCCACCAAATGTTCATGTAGGTAAGTTCAACCTACTAGCGATGGCCTCCAACCTAATGGCGATGGTCTCCAACCTAGTAGCCATGGCCTCCTAGTAGCCGGTTTTGTTCCTGGTAGGTGTTGCTTCCTTGTAGGCCCCTGCTGCAGTAGATTACATTGTCCTTGCGGACACTTAGACGACGGGACTTGATCGTTAATGTTTCAATTTGGCAATTGCTGAGGTATCTTTGGAACATCATTGCTGCAACCTCAGCACAATATGTTGTTGCAGTTTGGTAAAGAATTTCGGCTACTTTTCCAGAACTCGCTTTGTTCTTCCAAGGTCCAAATGCGATTTGAAAAAGGCACACCGATTCGTGGCTTTTCTTTGGGAGCTACTGCTGGAACGTTAGCCGGCAGCTTGACCGCAAGAAGACACGAAGACACAACGAATGAACCAAGACACCCATGCGTTTTTGCAGTTCTCGTCTGAGGCAACATGTGGTGCACAAAGATTACAGCGGTGCTTCTGGAAAAATGCATCTCGGGCAATTGTCGTGACCTGAGAGTGGCCAGATGCCCTAGCACGTGCACGGCAGCACCACGGCTAGCACGGCTAGCACGACGGGTGAGTGAAACAGGTGACCCTTGGAGTCATTGGGTGTCCTGGATTTGCCTTTTCGGCGCCGTGTTCTTTGCCACCAGTTGTGAGCTGAGTGAGAAAGGTCGGAAAGGCAATGGCCTCCGGCAACAACACGCAACACGCTGAGGCAACCTGTACTATATTTCTCGGGGGATGCAGCAACACGAAGCTCTATTCATGGTCACGGTCTCTTGGCGATACTTGAGATGAAGATGACTGAGAGAGTAGTAACAAGAAGCTATTAGAAACAAGTGCCTTACTAGTAGTAACAAGTGCCTTACTAGTAGCTTATTGTTTCTAATAGCTTCTTTGTTACTACTAGTAAGGCACCTGTTACTACTAGCGTGGCACTTGTTACTAGTAGTAACAAGAAGGCTACTAGGAACAAGGGTTTCAGTTGTCTTACGGAAGCACCGTGTTGCGCGGACGCAAGCTTCACGTCGGAGCGACGAAATGGGATGCCAATCCGATGCCACGGTTTTCCGGTCCACGGTTTAAGGAAGGACAACAACTGCCCAGGGTGTAGCACTCAACTGCCCAAGACACAACCCCACATCATGATTCCAGACCTTTTAAGAGCAAACACATAAGAACAGTAAAGATTATGCAAAGAAACCTAATAGCAATGGCCTCCAATCTGGCAGCGATGCTAGAAGCGCAGATGTAACTTGAACCACTTGCCACTAGTTCTATACTGAACTTCCAGTCCAACGCTTTCCAACACACTGGAACACTCCCAGATTTGCCTGGGCCCTGGCCACCTGGCCAATCACAACGCCTTCTTGACAATCTGGCTCGCATCGCCTGCAGTTCTGCCATCGTCTCACTTCAGATAGCCTGAAGTGAACGTTACCTTCCGTTTGAAGAAGGACTCTTTGGGGTTTTTCGCAGCGTGTTTTTCTCCCTTTCGTGTTTTTCTGAAACGCGACGTTTCGCTCTATGCTGGTACTAAGTGGACACGGTTCGGCCTCGGTCCCTTTGAGGTTCATGTTCGGTATCACTTTACCCTGAAGCACCAGTAAGAAAGGGCATCGCTACGAACGGAGCGATCGGACGCTACTAGGGGCGCTCCTGGCCTTACTACTAGTAACAAGAAGCTACTAGTATTCCTGGTGTACGAAAATGCTCGCTATTAGGTTGGAGGTCATCGCTAGTAGGTAAATTGGGGCGCTGGACTCGATCGGCACTAAGGTCTACATGGGAGCCAACATCACAACAAACAGTCTGAGACTTAAAGTGTGCACTTGTTCCTAGTAGCCTTCTTGTTACTACTAGTAGCCTATCATTAAGTCGATTGGTTTTAAAGGTTATTGACCTTGACAAGATTCTGAAGATATTCTTGAATCCTCAAACGGAGCTGAACTTGCTCTGCTTGGGATTCTGAAACTTGCGCAGGTCTCAGTGCCATTGTAGTGCTTGGGGAAATGGACGATGCTCCCTGGTGGAAACTCACCGGCTACACCCTGTGCATCCTCATGATGATGGCCTCTTCGGCAGAAGACACGGTTCCGCGGTTTGTGTGCAAAGAAACCTAACAGCGATGGCCTCCACCCTACTCGAAGTAGCAATGGCCTCCAACCTAATAGCTTTTTGCTCCTAGTAGTAAGGCCAGGAGCTACTAGTAGCTTGCTTTATTGTTCCTAGTAGTAAGAATGCTCCTAGTAGCGATGCCCTTTCCTCCTAGTAGCGTTCTTGCTCCTACCCCCCCCCCCCCCGCGCGCGCAAACAGGTCCTAGTAGCTAATTCTCATTAAATTCTATTTACGTTTGAATTTCTTTTTTGTTAAAATTATAATGACTTCTTGTTTCTAATAGCAAACATTGTTCCTAGAAGTACGGCCAGGAGCCCCTAATAGCGAACATTGCTCCTTGTAGCGATGCCCTTTGCTCCGTTCGTAGCGTCCTTGGGGCTAGTCGGAGCGAGATCGTCAACGAGAGGTTCGAACTTGCGGGATCATTTAGGATCCCTCGAAGCTGAATGTTACTAGTAGCCACGTGTTCCTAGTAGTAAGGCCAGGAGCCCCTAGTAGCGTCCTTGCTCCTAGTAGTAAGGCCCCTTGCTCCTAGTAGCGTCCTTGCTCCTAGGATCCCTTGAAGCTGAAAGCCTTTAGCTTTGAAAACACGACATGTCAACATCCCACCGTGGTCCGTTGCGTCACAGACTCACAGACTCTCGCTTTTGTCCAAGTTGGGCTTTGTTCCGCTTTTGTTTACACCTTCTCACCCCGTCTTTCAGTGTGCTCCAGGTGGGTATGGCCCTGCTAACTTCTGGCGAGAAGGCGGGACTTTTTGGCTCGAAGTCTTCAGCGTTTTCGATCTCTTCTTGGCAAATTCGCTACTAGGAGCAAAGGGCATCGCTACTAGGGGCTCCTGGCATTACTACTAGGAACAAGAAGCTACTA